CAGCTACTACTTCAGTACCTCTCTGTGGTCCTTCTAGTGTTCATACATGTTATACATCAAACTTATCGTCCGTTTAATTAATTGTTTTTTTAAGTGTTGAACTTGGGTCCATCCACGAAAAGGGAGTTGTACGTCGGGCTCTTAAAGTACTCATAGAACCGCAAGTAGTTGATGTAGATGCGATAGTTCCTATCGCCAATGCGTGTTGACGAGATAACGTTGAGCTTGTTGTACATCATCGCTGGGGTTCGCTTATTCACAATCCAGACCGTGAAACGGATTGTCCAGTACAGAGGTCGGACGTAGTTGTCGTGTTTGGCCTTCGATTTTCGGTTGATTTTTTAGTAATGTGGCCCACCATTCCTTCTCGCGCCCATTACCTCTTCCATGCGTATAGATTGTGTCATCTTTTGTCACCAGTCTTTTGATCGCTATCCGCACGCTCGCGAGTATAATTTCCCTCTCTTCGTCAGTGGCCGAGGTCTTGTGCGCTTCAGCAGTGGTAGAATCGTCTATACAATGTATAGACTTCTACGAAGCGATTCTAACGTGTCATGTGTCAATGGCCATGGCTGCCATGAGGGTACTGTCATGGTGGCCAGATGGGAATAAAGGTACAGCGTCGATCGAGGCATCGTCGGCAAAGCTCGTCTGCTCTGTAGCGGTATCCGCAACGGCCGAGGTTGTATCGCAGACCGTTAGGACGAGTAGTGTAATAACAAGAGGTCTACGTATTATAATAATAGTCTGCGAGACGCATCTCTGATGCCATCAGAGTTCGCGTATTACTGTACATGTAGTAGCTGCGAGTAGTGAGAGCCGGCACATTACACCGGCAGTTTTTTTTTTCAAAGCCTTTAACAAGGAGAGTAGGTTTAGCTTTTCCACCGCGCCAGGTCAACGAGCCGACCGCTTGACCAATCGAGAGCTTGAGGACGCACTCAATGCCATTGAGTGTGTCCTCACGCTCTCGACTGGTCATTGAGTCAATGCGTCTCAAGTAGGTTTCAAATCCTCGAAACGGATGGCAACCTCTCAGCGAGAGGACGCATCCGATGCAGGTTTCGAGTCCTCTCGCTATTCGAATCGCATGGGATAGGTCTTTTTTGTGGCACCGCCTTCGTTTCCGCTTAGGTCTTTCCTCTCATTAG